GAAACGTTAACTCTGTTTTCTCCTTCACAGATGCTGCCAGACCTGCTGAGCTTTTCCAGCAACTTTGCTTTTGTTCCACCTTTCTTTGTATGAAGTATAACTGCAACAAGCAGAGGGCTTCCCTTCGATTAGGGTTGACTTTGACTTTACTAGGAATTCTTGTTACCATATGCTGCTAAATGTTTGGATCAGGACTGTAATCAAATCAGGGCCAAGTGTTGAGTAAGTGCCGCTGTCAGTATTCCTTTCCATCACTTTGCCGATGATCAGAGGTTTGTGAACCTGAGGAATCCTCTACTGCCGAGGACTGTGAAGCTCAGTGAAGACTGACAGATCTCTGATTACCAACAATGTGTACAGGGTTCTGGTGACGGTGTGAACAAAAGGCACTGAAGTGTTCAAAAAGCCATCATCATTGTGAATGACAGAGCAGGCTCGATGAGTCGAATGGCCTCCTGAGGAGCAAAAATGGGCAGGATTTTGGGTTTGTTTCTGCCTTGTTGGCAGATTGGTGCCAGTGTCGTGACTGTATTGCAACTGCTAAGCTAAACAGTTCAGGAACACAAGTTTTCAGTACTATTGCTGGGATATTCTCAGGGCCCAAACCCAGCATCTCAGCCATTTCCTCAATATTATACGGACTACACTGAATTGGCTAAAGCCTGGCATCTCTGGTTTTAGGGACCATTGCGGGGGGTGGGGGCAGGAATAAAACTGGGCATCGATGAGGTGCTCGTGGGCTTCAGATGCATAACATTGTACATCACCACAGCTTCAAGATGGATCATCTACTCAGTATTTCTGGCTTTTTTTTTTTTGAAACTCACTGGCCGCTGGGGGTGTGCATGAAGTCTTTTCTTCCCATTAGTTTACCACCATCCATGAGGCAAATGCAGTGGAGTTTTGGTGGTAATGGGATGGCTTAGCTTCATCAGCTACTGCATGGCCACCTACCAACTGCTTGGCATTGGTACAGTCTCAAATCATGGCTTCACTAGGTTGACACCTTATTTAGTGCAAGCCCGGCTCTGCTCTTGGCATCGCGCCAGGGTTGGTTTGCTGGCTTGAGGATAAAAGGTAGGGTGAAGGATATGCTGGGCCATGAGATTCCTTTTGTAGCAGTATGCAATGCCATGGCTGGTTGGTACTGCTTCATGAATGCCCAGCTACCTCTGTTCTGAATCTGCCCCATGTAACGTGCCTGTCATTGCCACAACACGAAGTAAGGTATCCTCAGTGTGAAGAGAGGATACTTCACACTCTACACAAGGACTGGCATATCACGGATAGATGCATTTAAGAATGGTAGGTAGGGGAAGACAAGTTTGAATAGGATAATTTTACTTCATGATATTTCTCTCAGCTGCCAGACTATGCAGCAGGAGTGTCCTTCATTGACTAAATTCACTGGAGTTTAGGAAAATGAGGGGACGGATCTCATAGAAACCTGGAAAATTCTAACAGGACCAGATAGGATAAAAACAAAACGGGTGCACCTGATAACCAGGGAGACCCGAATCAGGAGTCACACTCTAAGCATAAGGTCATTTAGGACTGAGATGTGGAGAAATTTCTTCAGTGAGTCTAAATTCCCTGCTGCAGAAAACAGTTAAGGCTGAAATGCTTTCACAAATGAGTTAAAATATAGTTCTTGGGGCTAAAAGGGTCAAAGGACACAGGGAAGAAAGTGTATGAGTTGGATGATCAGCCAGGATCATTGTGAATGGCAGTGCAGGCTCGAAGGGGCGGATGGCCTACTCCTAGTTTCTACATTTCTTCAGCGCTTGGCCAACTCAGTTAATTTCATCGCTACCAAACCATTCTTGATGATGAACTCTGACGTTTTCCAGAGGGAACTCTTGCTTCTGCAAGCATTGCTCGAGATCAAGTCAGTCAGGTTGTAACTTGATTAACCTGCAGGATGTTTTGTACAAGCCTGAAAATGTCAGTGACAAGGATATTGCAGAGTTAACTGGGCAGGTCGCACCTTGGTCATGTGGTGCCCTGGTAGAAATCAGGTGATCCATCCAGATTTTTTTAATCTTCTCAAGTTTGATGAAACCGAATTGCGTGTTAAATTATTTCAGAGGGCAGTTTAGAATCAACCAATTGGCAGTGGGTCACATACAGGGCCACACCAGGTAAGATTTGCTCTTCTGAAGAGCAATAGTAAACTAGATTCATTTCTGCAACAATCCAACAGTTTCATAGTTATCATTATGGGCACCAGATTTTTATTCCAAGTTCACGTACAATGTCATTTAAATCAACTGAATTTAACTCCCCTAGCTGCCGTGATGGAATTTGAACTCGTTGCTAAATCATTAGTTCACGGTTCTGGATTATTAATTCAGCAACATCATACAATCCTACGCTTTCTACTGCTCAACTTACGTGTGTTTTGAAATTCAAGCTCTGCAAATAGCTTTAACCAGACCTGGAAGAAACCCTTAGATCTGTATACAGTGGAATACACATCATCTATTATAGTTACATATTTGGAAAATAAAGCTTCTGTTCATAAAATGACTGGCTACTGACACAAACAGGTTATTGGTCATTGATAAAAGTAGCAAATGGATTTTACAAAGAAGGATGATGTTAGCTCATATTTCTACAGCCCAGCACCACACTCTGACTTCACGGAAGATGCACAGAAAACTAGGTCCTCGAATATGCAAATATTTGCATTTAATTCCACTTTGATTGAAGATGACCAAGAATGGACTCCTTACAGGGAAGTCAGTGGGTTTAACCCACCATAAAACTTTGAACATGGTTAATAATGGAATTGATTCCCTTTTTGTATTTTTGCCAATTCATGATCTGACAATTTCAACTTCCATATCAGTGCTTCTGATAAAGTCCTCCACTTCCTCAATCAAGGATTCCCCTCCACCATGGAGTCCTTAACTGTCTGTCCAAGTTTCAACACTTCTGCTTTCATCCCCTCTCCTCTTTCCTTGAGCACTACATGCCCTCACTTTCCACCTACCACAAATTAATATCCTGCAGCATCTCCACCAGGTGCCACATAATGCCACCATTGAACACAGTTCCTTCAGAATGCTGAAAGGGAGGGGCAATCTCTCCACAGCACTCAAAACTCAGCCCTTCCCACACAACACCTTTCCATGCAAGTGTGTGCAACACCTCACCTTTTACCTCCTCCCTTTACACTGTATGATTCTACAACATACAAATGTAGATCCACTGTACTCCAACCCCATCCAGGGCCCTAAAACTTCTTCCATGTGAATTACTTGGAAGTATTTCAATTGAGTACAGTGAGTGCATTAACTGCTGACAATACAGCCTGCCTACATTGGGGAGACCAACCTGACATTGGGCTGAACGCTTCTATTCAGTCCACGAGTGTGAACCTGAGCTTGCTGTTGTTTGCCATTTTAATTCTCCATTCCACGTTGACCTCTACCTTCAACACTAGTCCAACAAAGTTCAAAGGAGGCATGACGACCAGGACCCTGTGTGGAGTTCAAATATTTTAGATTATGACCATTGCTCCCTTTTCTAAGCTAGAAACAGCAGCTGCTGGTCACGATTCTGCTGTCACTATTTACACTACCTCCAGTCTCAGTTTTGTTTTTTCACTTGTTCCATTACCCTCTTGTCTTGCATCATTTGATCAGTCCTGTCTTTCATCCTGTCACAGACCTTGCCTTTTACTTCTGCCCCTTTCCTTCTCTCTGTACTTGTGTAAAACTGGACAACATTTACTGGATAACTCGGAGTGTGTGAAGAATTCCACTGACAATCCCCAATTCAGTTGGGCTTGCAGTATTGCGTACTTGCATGTAGTGGACACTACATATTTAAATACACGGGGCACTGTTCTTTGTGGACAGGTTTCTGTTTCGACTCAACAAAATAGATAACAGCAAATCCTTGGCTCAATTCCCAAAGAAATGCCTGACCAATTAGAGTAAAACCTGCTCGGTTTAAATGCAAACAAAGTTGAGCAATTATCTATCCTCATTAATTGATGCATTCTTCATAACACCTCTACCAATCAGAGTCCACTTGCCAATGAATGAGCACTCTCTCACAGTACAAATGTTGATTTTCCCCTTTAATGGGTATTCTTGTCAACTGTCCTGATGAGAGGACAAAAAGGTTTGGCAAGATGCGACTTTATCCAGCAATGCTTAAAAACTGTTAAATCTCCAACTTTTGTCAGACTAAATGAGACTTGAGATGTGTTGCATGTTCCTCCCTTGATGTTGCAGGATGAATCAAATATTTCCAGCATTGGTTATATTTAATTCCCAGCTTCTGTACTCTAGTTGCCCCTTGCATTAACATACGTTAATGAAGGCTTCAGTTAGCAGTAATGTTTCATACAATAATTTGAGTGAGTAAAAATTATATTGCATGCTTTCACCCATGCCAACTCTCTCCAGCCCCACAAACCAAACTGTGTTTATCATTTTCTGCCCTCTTGCACATTTTTTAAAATCAATTTTTATCAATTTTTTTTTAATCACTCCAGCAGTTGGAGACCTGGCCTTCAGTTACTTAGGCTCTAATGTCTGGAATTCTCTCTCTACATTCTTTCATTTCACTGTCTTCCTTTCAAACACTCCATAAAACTTCTCAGTCCACTCTTTGGTTATCTGGACTAATATCTCACGTGGCTTGGGGTGACAGTTTATTTTCTATTATGCCTCTAAAGCACTCTGAGATGCTTTATTACTTTACAGGCAATTTATAAATGTAAGTTGTAGTTGATTCAAACACAGAAGTACAGCAATAAGATCAGTTAAAACCATTCTGCACACACCTTAAGACAAAAGGATGAGTTCAAAAGCAGCACATATTTATTTGAAAACATTTTATTAAAACTATCAGATTGCACTGAGAAAATGGGGAGGCAAGCATGTTTATATTATTATTCTCGTTATATACAATTTACATATGTAAACCCTTTAAAACACTTCAGCAAAACCAAAATAATGTAATAAGAATCAATAAATTTGATTGCTTTAACTGTCGCTAACCGTCTCTGGAATAGACTACTGAATGCATCAACTAGGAGTCAAATTTTAAAAAAAAAAACACTTCTAAAATATAAAATGCAGATATATCTTCCATAGTAAATGTATCGATGCCTCCCTGGCCCCATTATATACACTGTAGTAAAATGTCATTTAATTACATACAAGGAAACTAACTATGTACATCGTGCATTTCCCCCTGTTATTTTATAGAGAAAATCATTGTTATTTCACAACATATACATTCGTGTTACACAACATCAGGCTGTTTTAGCACAAATCTGTTTGTTGGAACAGACATTAACGGAACTTGAAAATGTTATGGACCCCAAAGTAAAACATGTTTAGAATTTTAACCCCACAGAATATCTACTCTCACTCCCAAACTGAACAATATCTGAAAAAGATCACTACTGAATTTAAATTGGTTCGGGACGTTTTACGTTTCCCACTACATGTTAGCATAGGGTTCTGGTCCTCTGTTATCATTCCCGAATATACTCACTCAGGAGGAGGAGAAGCTCATCACTTTACTCGCTGACCACCTTCCCTTAGATTAGCTAACTCAGCAAATACCAACACCTGGAAGTTCCTGCTCCCTGCAGATCACGCAGGTTTACTCACTGAGGATATGGGGAGTTGTACAGTGAAGACCTCTATTGTAAAGCAAATACTTCAATTCCAAAGCACGTGAATTTCACTAAAGCTGGCTCTCAGCTATGATCTCAACTCTCTCACACACAACACCATCACCATGATTTTATCACTTCCAATCAAATATCTTAGATGATAAGCATTTGTCCAGGCAGGAGACACAACAGTTAAAGACTGACAAATGACTCCTTGTACACTTGTGCCGAAAACTGACCCAATTAACAGTGGAGCTCAAGATTTAAAACACACAAAGAGAAATGGATAAACAAAACTTCTGCTTCTTTCAGTGATAGACTGCAAACTAACTTGATGCATTGATTTCAGGATCAGTAGTTTGGGTTTCATCTTTGTTGTTGTGTTTATTAACTTAAACTTTATCGCGGTGCAATAAAATCCTCAGACAAATCACATTGCAACTTACAGCAGTGGTCAGGGTCATACATTGCTTCATCAAATAGAGGGACCTTATTCTAAATTTACCAATGTTCGCTTAACAGACTGTTCTTGAATGGTTAACATTAAATCAGATAATGTTGAATCATCCATCAGGAGATCTCGAATGTACAACTTTGACGAAGCTTGAGACTTGAGACATGAGACACAAGACTGGCTTCATTTGTACAATTACAACGCAAACCTTTGCATCTGGGAGTGTGATTCATAAATACAATTCATTGCTAATGAAAAGCACCACATAAAGTTATCCATGAGTCAATCTACAGTACAGTTACAACTTGTGTATGTAACTGTGACTCACACTGCAAATATTTCAGCAATCAGGTGGATAGGTGCACAGATAGCAGAGCAGACTATAGTTTCCCGATTGGCTCCAGGCTAGGACACAAAGCAATTAGCTTACAATGAACTGGGGCAAAACAGCTAAAACAGAAACGTTTGAGGACAGAAAAACCCATCGGTGACCTATATATGAGCTGGACTGAGGCCATGATGCATAAACAATGCTCCCACTTCACCTCAATCATAAGATCCCTGTGGAGCGAAGGAGAAAACGGTTGATAAGGAACTTACATCATGTTGAGACTCTAATCTTTCACCCTTGGGATCAGGGCTAAACCACAGCTCAGCCTGATAAGGATCTCCTCTTTACTCTAGAGAGTAAGCAATATGAACTTGTGCAGTCTCAATCCAGTTGTTAATTTGACATTAGCTGGCGATAACCATAATCCTAAAAGCTGGCAATGGAACAGGTCAGAGTAGAGCACCACTTCTGTGGTTGAGCAGCTGAAGGATAGTACGGTGATGTAGTAGAAAGAGCCTGACACTACATCTGTTATAACTGTGACGGACACTGTATCTCTGAAATGGGAGGGGCCCCATCTCCTAAGATTAACAACCGCGGGGTTAAAAAAGCAGACACTTCAGGATGCACAATACCAACACGCAAAGAGTCGTCACTAAATTTTGCTCCAGCACCCACCTCTTCAATGCTCCCTTTAATATCACATCAACATTAACATAACCTTTGCAACCGACACCGACATTTCCGTACTAATTTCAATCACATTCCCTCTGTTTAATGTACAATCCCACACCATGATAGAAAATATGCAAACACGTATAGACAAACAAAAAAAAACCCTTAGGCTTCATGAAATGAGCAACTACTTCAGGTAACCCAGCCTCTTCAGTGATGAAGCACAGTCTTTGGTAGGCAGGTAGGTTTCTTTTTGACAATAGCTCAGGTCACATTCTATCTGAATTGCAAACAGGTGTCTCAGTTTAAGACCAGACTGTAGCTTTGAGGCAGTACCTCATGTTACGGTCAAATTCTTCAGCAAACAGCCATAAGCCTTTAGACAGGGACGTTCTGCAGCAGCTAAAATTAAGAGTCAGTATTCCCCGAGCCTCTCGTCAGCCAAAGAATTTCATTCCAAATACCTTCCAACTCACTCAGTGCTCTTCCCTTGTCTAGTTGACGTCCAGTTTTAAGTGCTGAACATGAACCCATTTTCTCTCTCCTCTGAGTGACAGTGACTCTAGTTGGAAGCAGACAATAGCAGATTTATCTGCACAGAAAGAGGAGGAAATGAAGTTAGGATCATTCTGACAGGATTTGCACATTTCTGACCTGTTCCTGGTTCGAACGTAACTGAATTGAGGATGAGATAGGTCCAACAATTTGTATACCTTGAATTTTAAGAGGACTTCATTTCCTACACCAAGTAACCACCCAAGATTTGACCCTCTCCTCTTCAGATCACTCCTGTAACTCAGTGACTAGGAAAAGACTGAACAAGGACTCGAGGAGATCACAACCCTTTCAGTAAGGCAATCTCTCACTTTCAAACTGGGACACAAATTTCTTGAACATAAAAAGAAATTAAGTCTTCAGGACAGTTTGAGAAGTCAGGAGCTGGCTTAAATAAAAGCCCAAGGAACTGCGGATGCTAGATATCAGAAACAGAAACAAAAATTGCTGGAGAAGCTCAGCAGGTCTGGCAGCATCTGTGGAGAGAAACCAGAGTTAACGTTTCGGGTCCAGTGACCCTTCCTCAGAACGCAGCCTCAGAAGAGCTGGCCTCTTTGCTTTGACTGAGGCTAAAACACAATGGAGGCGTGTAGCTTTAAATCAAATACAAGATCCTGCAAACCATTTAGTTTCATGAAGAGGTGTGAGAGACCCTTTCCATTAACTTAAAAACATATCAAACAGAGCATAAACACCAACACTTGTCTGTCAGGCCAAATGCTCTATTTGCTATTCATTCTATCTAATTATATATACTTCAAAATAGATCTTAGAAACAAATGTAGTAAAATAAACTCTGCATGTGAGGTGTCTAACTTTATCTGAAGCCACGAGTCTACAGTAAAGGGGTTGGCAGAGTGGGGGACAGTCAACGCAAGGCTAATAGCTCCCACTTCTGTTAAAATGTTCCCATACAAGGATCCATCAAATATACATTCAGCATGTTCCACAACTGTCAGCATAGCAAACAGTGCTGCACATTTAGTGGATGGTTAAATCAGAAAGGATGACAAAGTACAAAATCTAACCCGCAGCAGCAGGGTGGCTCAGTGGTTAGCACTGCTGCCTCACAGCCCCAGGGACCCAGGTTCGATTCCACCCTAGGGTGACTGCCTGTGTGGAGTTTGCACATTCTCCCCGTGTCTACGTGGGTTTCCTCCGGGTGCTCCGGTTTCCTCCAACAGTCCAAAGATGTGCAGGTTAGGAGGACTGGCCATGCTAAATTGCTCACAGTGTCCAGGGATGTGTGGATAGATGGAATAGCCATGAGAAATGCAGGGTTACAAGGATAGGATAGGGGGAGGTAGGCCTGAGATAACAAGGTGTAGAGCTGGATGAACACAGCAGGCCAAGCAGCATCATAGGAGCTTCATCTCTTCGGAGGGTCGGTGTGGAATCGTTGGGCCAAATGACCTGCTTCCACACTGTAGGGATTCTATGATTTAACACATTTTATTTGCAATTGAATACTTTCTAACTCAAAGAGAATGTACATTTGCAAACGTGGAAATTTAAAGCTACCACATATTATTAGTAACCGCAAAATATACTGCACATAGTAAAGATGGCAACATTAATATAAAGACTAGCAATGCCACTGGGGATTAATTTAAAACCTTTCACTCAATTGGGCCACAGAAATAAAAACAAACTTGCTCAGTAAACAAATGAGAATGTCGTTTGTTAGTAGAGAACTCAACTATTTTTAAAAAGCTTTCTCGAAGCTTTTCATCTTGCGCTTATTAGGACAATTTGCAAGAATATCAATGTCAAGGAGAACAATGTGTTTCTACAGTATGAGAAGGGTGTGCTGATTGGTTAGCAAGTGGACTCTGATTGCCAAAGGTCTTGCTAGAGTTAACGTGCCAACCAATCAGCACACTCTTCTCATACTGTTTAAAGATGGTGCCCTTGACATTGCTATTCTCGTGATTGTTCTGAGAGCAAGAAGAGAAGCTTTGATAAACAGAGATAACACAGTGTGGAGCTGGAGGAACACAGCAGGCCAGGCAGCATCAGAGGGGCAGGAAAGCTGACGTTTCGGGTCAGGACCCT